CGGGGGAGGGGGGGCAGGCCGCCCACGCGAGGGTGAGACTGGTCAGGTGCTGAAGTCAAAGAAAGTTTCTCCTGAGCTTGTGATTCCTCTCAACTCTTACTGTTGTTACCCTTACTATTATGTGCAGCGAAAATGTCATTCCCGTTCTGAGTTCAGATTAATACCTGCATTAAAAAAAAGTTGAAATTGTTCACTTGCGTTATGACATAGCACCAGTTACCTCCCTCCAACTTTATCCTTTCAGCCCTGTGCACTTGAGAGTAAAGATGAGCATGCATGCCCTCGGGCTGGTAAAGGGAGGTGGACTTGTGAAGCAAATCTCTTGAAGGCCCCCAAGAGGAGATTGGAAGCAAAGTCTTAGAGAGAGAGGTGGGGTGGGGGGATGGTGGGGTGCATCTGAGGCACGGATGAGCACTGGGGCCTTGGAGGCGATGAGATGGGTGAGGGACACGATGGAGGAAGGGGCTAGATCAGTGTTGTATGTACGAATATCTAATTTTAATTTTTTTAAATGTTATGAGCCACATTTTTAAAAGTATAAACAAGTGAAATTAATTTTGATGATGTTATTTAACTCAATATATCCTAAATGTAATCATATATATCCTAAATTAATCAGCATGTGATCAATGTTAAAAACGTTTTTAAATTTATCTTGATTGTTGAAAGTTATACAGATGTACCCATTTTTTCCTCACTGAACCACTCTAGCCCGTCCCCTCCTCCCCATCAGGCCTTCACCACACCATTGTCTGTGTCCATGGGTTATGCATATATGCATACAAGTTCTTCGGTTAATCTCTTCCCATCCACCGCCACCTTCCCTCTGAGATTCATTAGTCATTTCCATGTTTCTATGTCTCTGGATCTATTTTGTTCATGTTTATTTTGTCCTTTAAATTCTACATGTGAGTGAGATTGTGTGATACTTGTCTTTATCTGACTGGCTTATGAGATATTTTACATCCTTTCTGTCATTCTGAATCTTTGTGATCCAGTGCTTATCTCACATTTACATCATATCTCAGTTGGGAATAGCGACACTTCAGGAGCTCAAGAGCCGCATGTGGCTAATGGTCCACACTGGACATACAACACAGGTCTAGACAGTGAAAGGCATGAAGATCAGTGGGAAGAAACAGAAGGGTTGTCAGATGTGCATTTTAGAAAGATGGTGTTGACAACCATGTGGAGGACACATTTCCAAGCAGGGACAAATGAAGGCAGAGAAGCCAGAGAGAACGTTTTTGCACATGGCTGGTAAGACTGGGAATGGGTCAATCCTTATGGGAAGCAATTTAGCAGTACTAGCAGAATTACAGCTGCATAGACTTTCTGATTCTGCAGTTAGGGGTAGGAAGGAGCCTTTCACACTTCTAAATTTGAACCAGGAAACATAATACCTATCCAAACAATAAAATGTAAAATTAAATATATTTAAATTTTTAAAGAGAATGTGTTGACATAGCTCAGGCAAGAGGCCCTGAGGCCCTGAAGTGAAGTGGTCAATAGGCAAGAAGGATTGTCGCATAAGTGACTTAGGTGTTTAGAGCTAATTGATAGGTTGCTTATGGGACAAAAGAGAAGATTCTAGATTTCTGACTTGAGTGGATAAGTGGTATATCATTGATTGAACTGTGCAGTCTAGGAGAGAAAGCATGGACTTTGGAGGGAGTCGGGTAAGGATAGGAAGGTGAATCCAGGCAAAAGGCCTGTAAAGGTAAAGTGAAAGGTACTAAAAGAACCAAGTGAAGATGGCATTAGAGATGCTAAGAAAGCAGAGTTTTGGGGACACAAAGAATGAAATACAGAAGAGAGTCTGTTGAGGTTAATTAACCTCATGGGGGACACTGATGAGCAGAGGAGTACTGGGGGTGAGGCAGAAACCCCCTACAGTGGGCTGAGCTGGCAGTTGGATAGAGAGTCCATTTCTTCATGTTGCCCATGCAGGGAAAAGAACTCAGTAGGAACAAGTGATGGAAAGTTGGGAAGACTTTTGTTGCTATTGGTATTATTATTAAAATTGAAGAGATTGTATTGTGGGCAATATGCTCCTTGTTTCTGATTTCTTTGGAGGTATATATACTGACACACACCCCTCAAGTGTATTCCTACGCCTTTAAAGCCTGACCTAAAGGAAAAATGAAAAAAGTGTAACAGCAGCGAAAGCAAAAGCCCCAGCCAGACTTCCTTCTTTTGTGAAAACAGCAGTGCCCTCTGGAGGCAAAAATGCATCTTGTCCTGGGACTTTAAGATTGGACTGAACTTGCTTTTTTTCCTGACATGGAAGAATAGTGCTCTGATGCTTTAGATAGCTGCACAAATTTTTTTTCTATTGCAAAGGCATTACAAATCATTTCAGAGGCCTATTGGCAACTCTGTGGACAACAAGTGCAGGCTACTGTGTCAGTAAGCGTTTTCATTTCCACCTATTAGATAGAAAATCATCAAAATAGTTTTTATAGAGTTTCTGATTTTTATCCAGATATTCCCCTTTCTTTTTTAAAAATATATTTTATTGATTTTTTATAGAGAGGAAGGGAGAGGGATAGAGAGTTAGAAACATCGATGAGAGAGAAACACCGATCAGCTGCCTCCTGCACACCTCCTACTGGGGATGTGCCCGCAACCAAGGTACATGCCCTTGACCGGAATCGAACCCGGGACCCTTCAGTCCGCAGGCCGACGCTCTACCCACTGAGCCAAACCGGTCAGGGCTCCCCTTTCTTATTAGATCAAGAATTTATCACAAATTCAGTACACACACCCTTGACAGGCATAACTACAGCCCTTTCTTCAAACACTCTCCAGGGTTCTTCATGTTCACACAGAAGGCTGGTTTTTCCTCATTGTTTTTTTTTTAATGCTGTGTTCAGTCTTATGACTTGGTATCATTCTCCTCTTCTAATTGTAAAAACCTGTTCCACCCTTCAAGCTCTTGTTCTAGTCTCACCTCCATAAAGCTCTCCCTGCTGTAGCCCGTATGTCTCTTTCCCTTCCCTGAACTGCCATTATGGTTTCAATTGGAACCTCATGGTAAAAAATAGAAGGTAAACAGTAACTATGGCAGCAAAACAATAGTGCCTTTTCACTAGTAAAACTAAAACCGACTCATGACCAGAAATCATCATGTTTAGTTTTCCTGTGGTGCATTCTTACCAAATTCCCTAAGACTCAGGTCTGTGCTTATTGCATCCTTTGTATTCATTCCTAGAAGTGGACCACCGTATTTGGGAACAGCAGTCTGTGCTTGGAAAAGCAAAACATTTGAAGGGTACAAACATTTGAAGACCCCAGAGTCCTAGAGGATGGAGCTTTCTAAGGTAAAAGTACTTATATATAAACATAGATGAATCTTGAACTTTGATCAGCACATGAATAGTTCCTCCCATAATAGCAAGAAATCTGGGTCTTCAGTTTGGTATCAATAGCCCAATTAAAGTTTCTCCTTGTACCATGTGAGACACAGGGAATCCAGAATATGCTAATCTAATCTCCAGAGGCAGCCTGAGGATGGATGATATGTAAAAATGGAACCTCAATATCATTTTGATTCTGTCTACTTATTCAGCAATTCTGCTTTTGCTGGATGGGGGGAGGGAGGGAGGAGGATTATGGAGGAAGAAGAAACACAAAGAAATAGAGAAAAGACACCTCATTTGTTCAACCATAAAATTCTACGTTCAGGCTTGTGTCATGAAATAAACAATTGAAAGTGGACTCTTACTGGTAGATGGGGAGGTGTAGCTGATGAGGCTTATATCCCCATGTTTTCTGTTCTGTCTAAAAAAACCCACAAGCCTTTGGAAATTGGAGGCCTATCTGAAAGTTTTGGTAATTTGGGCTGTGACCTTTGGGCCTTTGCGTGTGTTCATCTCTAACCCTTCATCTCATCCTGAATCAGAAGTGCATTGATTGGCCTGTAGGAAGTGGGGTAGGGTCAATGTTTGCTAGGACATTTAGTATTTCAAGTATTTCAGGCGCACAGATTAAACAAATGAGCAAACACGTAGGTGTTCCCCTTCCCCTCAAACCCAGAGCTTTTAGCAGAGTATCTGTTGCTTTGTGATTGTTAGGCTGTATCTGTTATCAATAATCTGTAGTCATTCGGTTTCAGTTTTTTTAAAACCACTCTCATTTTTCCCAGGATGCTGGAGCAGCAGCTTACAATGAGAAATCAGGTAGGATCACCTCACTCTCAGACTTGTTTCAGAAAGCCTTTACTCATATCTGTCCTCAGTGGATAAAGGGGAATGCAGAAGGAGACTGTCTTCCCTGCAAGTGTTCAGGTGTGTAATTGCAGGACCTGTGGCAACCTGGACTGTGCATCAGAAGGGGGACTGCTTCAGGGGCAGTGTGCATCAGCAGGCACGTTCTCTTAGGGCTCCCATTGATTCCTTTATTTGCCCACAAGATGTCAGACTCTTCTGACCACAGCCCTAAAAATTGATCAGAAGAGGTGACCAACTGATCGTCCCTGGCTCAACAAGGGCTGTAAGAGCCAAATGGAACCTTCCTAATCTTAAGGGTGGCCCACTTGAGATTTTCTACCAAAGCACAGGCCAATTGAATCTGGCTGCTGCATGCTACTTCTTTTATTTATTTATCTTTTTATTTTTTTAAATAGTTAACAGTAATACAGGTGTTTCCTTTTTCCCCCCTTCTTGCCCCCCTCCACCCAGCCCTTGCCCCACCCCACACTATTGTCTGTGTCCATGGGTTATGCATATATGCATGCGGCTGCTTTTAGATAATTGAAGCCATCAGAGGACTTTCTAGGTGGCTGAGATTAGAAATATGTTTGAAGCCCTAACCAGTTTGGGTCAGTGGATAGAGCATCGGCCTGCAGACTCAAGGGTCCCGGGTTCGATTCTGGTCAAGGGCATGTACCTTGGTGTGGGCACATCCCCAGTGGGGAGTGTGCAGGAGGCAGCTGATCGATGTGTCTCTCTCATCGATGTTTCTAACTCTCTATCCCTCTCCCTTCCTCTCTGTAAAAAATATATTTTTTTAAAAAAGAAAGTGCTAAAATCATCTTCACAGACTTCCCAGACTTAAAAAAATTAAAAAAAAAGAAATATGGTTGAAGTAAAATATAATTAATTACCACATTTTACCTATTTTAGGGCACATAGTTTTTCACATCTGTTAAGTTAAAACTACTCTATCAACCAGTAATGTGCCATGTTTTAATTGGCATTGTTTTTCCTTGCTCAGTGGCATTTAATAATGATGTCTTAGATTCCATGAAATACAGTCACAGGTTAGGTTCTCATAG